CATGATTGGAGTTTATCTAAGCTATTACGTATTGTTGCATAAATAACAGTGTCTTTCAATGATGTTGAAAGTATACTATTTAAATTACGATAATTGTTAATCATATTCCGGCCATTCCCATTGAGTATCCGAAATGCTTTACGTGTGCCTGCTATACTTATAAAATTAATGGATTTCTAATAAAATTTGAGTTTTACGCTACAGTGTAGGCTAGAAGAACATAGCTTATGTATTCTCTATCTGATAGAAGATGATCAGTATTTTATGTAAGTGGATAAATATCGATGACGAGGACAAGCCTATTAGCTAGCTCGTAATCATAATTTCTCGTCACAAACCTAGGTTGTTAACTTTCTTTCATAATGAAAATCCCTATAGTGTTTGCAGTCACTATATGAAATACAAAACTCGTATATCATAAGCGATCTGCTCTTTAAAAATATCTTTAAGCAACGATTAGCAAGGAATATTTACGTAATAAAGCAAGTGTTATCTCGGCCAACTTCTCTACTAGTCTAAAGAATCGAATTAAAGCTGAAATTAGTCGGTTTATAGATACGAAATGTATGAAAGCGAATTTATACTGTAAATAAGTGCTTCGGGTATTGCATATAAAGCGATGATTATGCAAAGTGTAATATCAATTATGCTTATTAAAGGATTTAAAAGTCCATTAAAGAACCAGATTTTCTCTATAATTAGTCTTTATAGGGATACAAAATATAAGGCAGAGTAACTACAGTTTTAATAAATACTTCTGTGCATTAAACTTGTAAGAGTTGGTAGATAAGCAATATAGTATTGATTCATATTGAATACTAGGTATTTATATAAGTCGATAATAGTCGATAAGAAGCCGATTAAATTAGCTATTAAATAATTATTTCGCTTATCCTCGATGTGAAGTACAACAGTCACTTTAATAAACATCGAATTGCCCAGTTTGGTTAAATTAACCAGACTACTGAATTCTATCAAAACGGTAATAATCATAATTTTCTTCGCTTGTAAGAGTAACATAGTGTGATGACTTTCAATATAGCTGATGCCAAATGCAAATAATTTAGACATTAAGTGATTTACAGTAAAAATTTTTGACATTTGTTCATTCGTAAAAGTCAATGTGTTCAAACTTTGTGCCTATAAATATTTTAAGAATACTGACGTATACCAATAAGCAAGATAAAAACAATATTGCAAAATCTAAGTTATCATTTTTATTTACCATTAATTTATTGTCGGAATAATTTTTACTCACTTCTATTACTTAACGACTAACTTTATTGATGCTCATGCTTACATATGCTACCAACTATGACATATTTACTTTGATTAGGCTTGTTCTCTATAGAAATATACTCTAATTATTAAGCTCTGCTTGTTGCCATTGTAAAATTGTGACGACCAACAATAACCAGTTAATCAAAAATTCCTGGAACGATTGCATTATCTGTTTATCTTTGTTCTTTTAGTAGTCGTATAATAGAAACAATGCTATTGTTACAATTGAAATTGCTTATTTCTTAATGATCGTCATTATCATTTTGATTATATTACATGTTTCTATTATAATAGCTAATTCACCTAGGCAAAGGTCTTTCTATAGTTAGCAATAAAAAAAATTATAATGGATTTTGATATTGTAATTATGATTGGATCCGGTTAAGTTAAAGGAAACTACATGAATATCTATATAATAAAATGATAACATTAGTTGCCTCATAGACTGCCTTCTATGCAGTCTTTTCAGTCCAATTTTGATTCTATTAGTCTGATTCTATTTGTTATGATCACTTTATCGATAGCAGCGCATAATAGGCTTGATTAAGATTTCTACAGTCTAAACTATAAGCAGAAATGATAGAATATGAAACATCTGCCGGATACTTATTATCTTTATATGTAATTAATTTTTATAAATGTACAGTTTATAACCGTAATAGCGTATCCTTAGTAACACTTTACTCTTAGAAATGTCTAAGGGTGTTGTGATGCTAGAGTATATCAAATCAGTATGATTGTATTCTATGTCACATGATATCTTAATTAAATATCAGTTGGATGATCAAATTTCTTGATATACAGATTACTCTTTCTATGCTGATGTTGAATTAAAGCTAGGAGAAGCTATTTTACTGTTGCTAAGATAAATTGTTATTGTTTTAGATTTTAGCTAGATCTTAGCCAGTATTAATTCCATTTATTTATTATATATTAAAGTGTCAAGTTGCATTTCTTAGAATTCACCATAATTTTACGGTTAGCGAATTGAACTAAGATTTTATTGATCAAGAATTTAATTCTTTAGGAATCTAGTATATTTCGATAAGAATCTAGAATCTGTTACAAAACTTATCAGTTAGGTAAGTGGTATTATTAATTAAATATTATCACGATCGGAAATTGATTAATTATTTAATTTGATAGTTATAATTTTGATTTTATTTCTGAATGCTATTAATGAAAATTTTATAGCATAATTTTTATGGATTTGTGTTATAGTAATGAAAATCTTCCTACTGACTAACTTTAATTGATAAATGATGACGTTTATATGGATAATCGCATGTTGTAACTTTATGAAATTCTACAGTAGCCTTTTAAACCGAGTAAAAATAAAAAATCAACTTGAGTTTGTCAACTCTAGCTTATCCAATTCTAGTGAACGTGGGGGTACAATGAGTAAATCGAAATCTGATTTTGACGTAAAGATACAGCAGACAATTTTAATCTAAGTGTGATAGTTTTCATGATGACAGTTTTTACTGAAAGTATTCGATTTAGTGTTGATATTCTCAAATTGATTAGGTCGCAAATGCAGCCACTATAGATTTTAAATTGTACTTTATCGAATCCACGGCCAATATGATAAAGCTCTGTAAGGGCAATACAGTTTCATCCTTAAATTTATGTACTTATTTCTAAATTATTGCTAAGTATAGTGTAGTATACCGAAACTATTATAAACTCAAATGGAAACTCGTACACTTTATAGCCATTTAAAGCCTTAAAATATATTACCTTTATAAAGTGTCAAGCAATGTAGTATACCCTTGAATTCAATTTTAATTTTAACTACCCATCCTTCTAAAAGCTCACAGTCTCTATCCATAAATAAACCTAATTTTTTATATTGGTAAAATCGATTACTGGTGTGAAATAAGTATCCTATGCGTGTTATGAATAATATATACTTCGCTCGCATTGCAATATTAGATTTACTAGATGAAAAGTAGTCAACATCAAACGTCTAATTAATTTGACAATAGTAATTTCGAATCTAAATCCTCTATATAGGACTAGCTATTTTTCTAAAATTGCAATTGCTGGACATTGCTCAGTCTTATTGTACCGTTGCAGATTTCAAGTTTAACTTAAATTTCTACTCAATTTATAAGCTAAGTAAAATATCGTCTTAATTGCCGAGCTACGAAGTCTGTGAAAGCATCATAAGCTTTACTCAATTCTTAGATTGTTCTTATCTCGGCTATTATTTTAAAGAAATAATACGAATGCAAATTTAACGTAAATAAACACGTACATTAGAATAGAATCTCTATCAAAATGAATAGATCATATTTTGATTAATTAAAATAATCAGCGTCATAGTGTTTCAAAGGAATGAAAAGCGACTTCGTTAAGGAAAATAAATTAGAAATTGATAAGATACTCAATAAAGGAAATAAAATATAACTATTTAACGATACCATCTTTAGATTTGTCTAGAAGTACAGACCGCCTTTAATAACAGACATTTCCTGTTATGGCTATGACATTATCGAAAATTTAAAGTGAAATTACTAACTATTCGTTTTATTTTTTACTATGGCTATCTAGCATTATCGAAAATTAAAATCGATAACGCTGAATATTCGTTTTATTTCGGGAATTAAAATTTAAGACCGATATATCATGCATTTTCGGAAATAACTCGTAGGATAATAAATATTTATCATATTAATTAACATCTTATTTCGTAGCTAACGAAGTTTATAAGAAATTAAAACTGGATTTAATCAATTTTAGCGAATTGAATTAACAAAATCAGTCAACGCTATGTTCTCAATAATCGAACGATATACATTTTTCTCTGACGATTTCGACAGCTGCTATACCAATCACTGTATGCAAAGTATACTGACAGATATAATATAAATATATCGGTTCTGTCATTTCAAAATAAAATCGAGTTATGCTTTCGGGTATGTAATGTTTGGACTGTATTTCTCGTCTATTAGAGGGTGGATAAACTAATTAGAAAGTTTAAAGCCACGGAAACTTCAACCAATTTTTAAAAGCTAGATTAATACTCTTATAGAAATATTGCTGAATAAAAGCTCCCTTTACGGCTAGAATTTTACTAATATTTGCTATGTCAAAGATTACGACTTGTAGATAGGCCGATGAAGTACTGTTAGCTGCAAGGTGCTTCGTTTTCAATTATATTTACATCAAGTAATTAAATGGACATGAATGCAAACATTGTCACAAAACTAATACATACATAACAATCTGTTTAGCATAGAAAAGACTATTATTGATTATTTACAATTATTAAAAACAAAATTAACTTAATGTTACTCTCCTCAACTTTAACTATTATGAGTTAACTATTTTTCTATTATTTCGATTGATCTTCAACAATATCACTATTCGAAAATTGAGATAATATCATTATCAAAAATATTAATCATTTACAATGAAAAGAATAAGTGTGATTCAATTACCTAAATAGTTTCTAATGATCATTATTTTAGACAGTAGTATATGTTATTAGTTACAATGATATACAGTAATTATTTGAAAAAAGAGAAAAATAATTTAATGATCTTCATCTATTTGCCTTTATATAAATTCTAAAGCATTAAAGACTTGGCTAATGAAGCAATACTAATACAAAGATACTTAACTCGATTTCTATTGCTTCCTTCAGTTGCTATAATCGACATAACCGAGAAATAGGCTGAAAACGATTGCCGTGGATCAGCAAAAGTATCATTATGAGAAATCTTCATGGCCATGATGATGACGATAGCTATGCAGAGGGTGATTATTTTAACTGGACAACCAACCATACTTTACCTGAAACTTACGGACTACAAGAATATTTACAGACCATTAGCATAGGAATACTCTTTTTTATGTCATTGATAGGCAATTCATTGGTTTTACGATACATTGTCAAGAAAAGGAAACTTCATACAGCAACATTTATTCTAATAGCAAACAACTGTGCAGTGGACTTGGCAATAACAATTTTCATTATGCCTATGTGCTTTATGGTTTCCATTTTACGTGATTGGCCTTTCAATTATGCAGCATGCCAATTTTTTGGATTTATAGATATGACACTTTACACCGGTTCCTTAATGGCATTATCTGCAATTAGTGTTATACGCTATTTTGCAATAGTATGTATTCGAGATAAAAATTACCATCTGAAAACCTCTAAGAAAACGGCCATAACTATGATATTTATATGCTGGTTCTATTCACTTGCATGGGGTAGTTTTCCATTAATGGGTTGGAATCATTACATCTTCTTTATTGAGAAATTAATGTGTAATATGAATCATCGAGATCTAAATCATTATACGACCGCTAGTACGATATGCACAACATTAGTACCTTGCTTAGTGGTTATCTATTGCTCATTCAGAATTATTCTAGCCATACGCCAACATAGCCATCATAATCATTTTCATCAAACGCAGCAGCCTCTACAACGTTCTCGTGTTGATCGCAAGGTAACTACGACTTTAATTATTGTCTTTATAGCTTACTGCTCTTGCACGATACCGCAGGTAGTTGTTGCTTCAATTTATAAATGGGATGAAGATGATACCATGAATCAACGTATATCTTATAGAAACATCAAAATCATGGCTACTATTCTATATTTAAGTAATTGCACCGTTAATCCAATCATCTATGGCGTATGCAATAAAAATTTAAGGTCAGCCTTTCATTTTCGTGGTTATTTTGATCGTTTCTTTGACGTTGATGGCGTTTCACAAGGCCCAACAGCCATGGGTCCGACTTCTATTCAAGTCAATGTTAATGAAAGTCCTACTACAAGATCTAGAAAATCACCCATTTCCCTCTCGAAAGTAAAATGCTTTGAAACTAACTCATCTAAGAATTGGCAAGCTAAAACATTGCAAAATCAATCTGGACTTAGACCAATGTCAGCTAAGTTGGTCAATAAAACATCGCCAATGGTGGCAAGAGCAAGATTATCCGATGTAAGTTTAGTTTCTATTGAATCGACCCAAACAGCCATAGAGCCAATATCGCCGTTAAAATCGAATCCCAACGTTAGGAATTGGAAGAATAATACGGGCATTGCAGTAACACATCCAAGGATTAATCATTTAAAAAATCACGATATACACTAATATTAAATGGAAGGAGATTATGTGAAATGAATTCAATACGCTATCTTATTATGAAATGTCTTGTGGCTGTTTTTGCTTCAATAAACTAACTACCGTACTTGCACAAACAATAGATAGTATAAGTATATTTTTATCAGAGCTACTATAGCAGCGGTAGTACATCTGCAATCTTTTAGACACTTGTGCAGTATTATCGCATTTAGCGAAAAGTGTTATTCAGTTCTGTAACAGCAAATCAACTTGACTAGGCAAATACCAATGTTTGATTTGTATTCCTTGCTACATCTAATCGTTATAATAATATTATTTATAATCATTCACGGTTAGCAATGTATTTTGCTAGAGAGAAAATTAGCTTATTAACTTATATAGTTGGTAACTTAACTATTTCAGAATATCAATGATAACACATTTATTTTAACTGTACTCACTTAATAAATTTTACTGGTATGTAACGATGTTGACCTCATCCTTAAAATTAAGATTAGCTTGATCCAATTTAAGATTAATAAAATTTCTTCTTATTGCACTCATTCAGCTAAGAAGATTTAAATATTCGTTATACTGCAATTAATTATAATTATTAATAACTATTATAATGTGTATAAATAGAAGTAGTGGCATCAGGCACGCGCATCATTAGCAGTCCGGAAAATCCTTAACACACAATTCAGCTAATGGTTCATGTAGTATTGGTAATTAATTGGCAATACATATAATGTGATGAGATAGAATCATTCTTTGTAGAGGAATTACAATCGTACTTCCAGTTTTATTTTAGATATATTTACTAAGTCTACAATTACTTAATACGTTTAAATGAGCGGATTTCATGTTTAATCAAGCCTAAAAGCATTTGTGCAAATAGCTTATAATGTTAGGATGAAGACATACAGTAACAAAAAAATTTTACAATCATACCCAAATACGAATATCGTTCAAATTGTAGACTAAACCATAGACTAAATTACTTTTCGTATTGCCTGTATTTTATATAGCCATTATGAATACATGGAGCTTTCTTTAGTTTACCGGAAGATTGGCTGCTGTAATATCACAATTAGTGAGTAACAATAAAAAATTGATTCCATAGCTATACCAGAAACTTATAATGGCTATTTAAATTCCCGTTTTTAAGGCAGTTCAATGATCGCTTAATCACTGATTTGTGACTTAATACTCAGAGAGGGAGTAAGGTTAGTTGTACGTAACTTTTCAATATTTCATCAGCTATTTTTTAAATATGGCACATAACTACAGGTATATATTTTAAAATTATTAATGAATTAACGAATAACAATGGAAATTTAACCAATAAATCAATAGCATCATATCTTTAGAGCGAGATTAGTTAATGCGGCTTAAAGCACCTGAAATCCATCAGATAGCAAAGGTTAATTAGTAAATTAAGGTATGCTTGTCGTTATGATTTTTTGTAATACGAGTAATATATAAATGGTATTGATAAAGAAGCAAAAATATTTCCGTTTTAGAGACTGTTTGAGTTATATACATCAGATACATCATAGTATGCCTTGTAAATCTAGAAACACCTCTATTATACTCTAAACCCATAATACTTGCGTAAGGTTATATTTTTACTAATCAATGACTTAATTTTAATTATATTGAAATAAGTAATAATTTATAAAAATGTAATAAACTTCGATTGCTATAGTAGGTATAACATTTTGAAGACCAGGAAAGTTTGTTTGGCTTGCTTTTAAAAATCTGGATGAATTTTTGTCAGGGATAATACGTTTCTTGTATTTATTACGGTCAGGGCAGATGTCAACTGTTCAGTCTACTATATAATATTCTGTTGAGGTATCAGTAGCGATAATTCTCTATTTAGCTCAATTCTGTTATAGTTATAATGTAGGCAATAAAGTTTTATTGTACCTATTAATAATTAGAGAAGAGACCCAAACATTATTTCTGTTTCTATGTTTACATCATTACACAGCAGGTTTTTTTATCACCAGGCAGAAGGTCATTGTACGCTCTTTGTTAGGCCATGATATTTTTGACGTGTGATAATAACTTTTATTCTCTTGGTTCATTTTGATAGAATATCATGCTTTTACTTGATTCTTGGATTGCACGGCATTGTAGAATGTAATGCCTTGAGTTTAGTAATTGAGTAAAATTCTTTAAGTATAGAATTACTAATATGCACTACCGTAGGCTATAATACTTTCGTAGTTCAATGCGATTAGTTGCTCGTGCTCAGGCAAAATATGGCAATTCAATGCCCGTACGTAACGTGTGGAAACGTGATAATATTACTACTATTACGAAATAGGTCATGCCCTAGGACTTTTAGGCGTATGCAACGAGTAGATCGAGAGTTCTTCTTGTTCATAGTTTGTTGTAAATACCGTTACGGTTGGTTTTTATTGTAATAAAGCTTAATTCGGGTTTTAAATCCAGTTCGACTGATTTATTGTGGACCCTTGAAAATCAACTTACTACAATTTGGCGCTGCAAGTAGGGTTCGAGCCTAAGCGGGAGAATCCCATTGGATATGCTCTGCTAAAGATTGCATCTATTTTAGTTAAAATTGTACGAAAGATGAATAAATTTAAAATCTAGTGGTTTAAATGAATGACAGATTTGTTTCTAGTCGATGATTTTCCCGCTATTTCCTTTAATAAAAGTTAGCTTCCCCAAATTGATTAACAAAGGAGAATTCGATAATTGATATTTGGCTAAATCAATATTTCTTGGCTATTAAATGATTACCTAGAATTTAATAGTCACATTATGGAAATCTAAATTGACGGTAAATATTGTGGCTGATATTAGTAATTGTTGTTATAGAGTATTTCTTCATTTGTTGTAAGCTTGCCGACGAAGAAAGTATTTCACAAAATTATAATAACGATGAATATGAAGATAATTTTTCTTTCTTAATCTTCAGTTCGTATTCAACGATAGTGAAATAGTTTAAACAATAATTATCATAATAGCCAAAAATATTTATCTAACAGAGACAAATGTCTATAAAGTTTATTATTCCATATGACAAATTAGGTGTTTCAATTGATTGCCTTTGCTATTTCTAGCTAAAATCGTATGAATACTTATATTGACGTAGATAGAACGTCGAAGGTATTGTAGCTCAATTAATTGATCCGCTTGCTACATCATTAAGTAAATAGACTAAAATTTGATTGTTGAGATACAAAGGAGTTTAATTAAAGTAAAATTATTCTTGCTTCTACATCAATTAAAGATTCGTCAATATTAGTCATTTAAATATTACATTACCTTAAATAAAAATTTTTTTGTTAACTAAACATTCGCATAGAGATATTACTATAGCACAGTTAACTGGTACTGATAATTTTACAAGAATGATTTACCTAAAAATTTATTGCGAAGTATAGATTTGGATACAATAATTTGATGAGTTACAAAATATAACGCTTTTAACTATATCTTAACAAAACGTATCATAGTGGTTTTCATAGCATTAAATGTGAATTAGCACGTTTACTACGAAATCGAACCGACAAAGGAATGACTGTACTTGAATGACGGTCACTTCGACATCTACAACAGATATTTGTCAATAATTTTTGTTGAACGATACGTCGTAAGTAGGAATTCATTGCTCCATATATAATGGAATTCCAAGCGCTATTACTGAAATAGAGTATGGTTGCGATTGCCTGTATTCTGTAGTATAAATGTAAACTTCCAGAATATTCATTAAATCGGACTACAGTTGCCATTAATAAGTTCGGACCTATACATAAGAAATAGACGATAGCGATTATGCCCATCATAATAGTCACTCGTCGCTCTAATCGATTGCTTCGGGTTAAATTAATGCTTCGGTTGGTAAAATTTTGCCACATATACACAATTATTCTTATCGTGCAATAAAACAAAATGGTTGACGGTAGAAGAGTGCAAAATATTGTCGCTAGTAGCGGATATTGGCCTTCACGGTGATTCATATTGCACATAAGTTTACCTAATACAAATGAATATCGATTCCATCCATATAACGGTGGACTTGCCCAAACTAGTGAATAAATCCAAACTATTGCAATCATATATTTAGCTCTTTTGACAGACATTTTCTTGGCAAAATCTTGATCCAAGGCTCTAACGATGGCATAATACCGGTTAATACTAATCATCGCCAATGATGATAGTGATGCTGTATAGGATACCATTTCTAAAAAGCCCAAAATCTGACAAGTGATGCTACTAAAGGGCCACATACCAACTTGAACAACAATAAAACATATTGGTATAATAAAAATTGTGATTAGTAAATCACAAAATGCTAGATTTGCTATTAAGATATTAGTTGATGTATGCAACTTCTTTTCCCAATAAGTCATGAAAACGACAGGAAAATTTCCGATTAATGCGATAGTAAAGATAACTATTAATATCACAGAGATGATAATTGCCTCGGTGCCTTGTGGCCATTTATCATTGGATGTAGAGTTGGTCGATGCGTTAAGATCCATCTTAAAAAAAATTAATATTTCTTCTGATAATATAATAAAGCGTTTAAACAGCCTGCACTTACAATTCTTATAAAACTATGATAATAGTAAGAATATGATCAAATAGAGCTTTGGGAGAACTTGTAGAACTTCGATTTCTACACAATATGATTATCGATGGAGGTGAAATTGTTAGGATATATTCTAATTACAGCGTAGAAAATGATAGTGAATGAAGAGACTTCGTAACAATGATAATAACCATAAAGTGCTGTTTATAGCCACTCTTCAAGATTAGTTAAAGCTAGATTAGCATACCCTTAATTAGCATTTCAAGAGTAAATAATACCCTAGCTAGTATAAAAGAGATAATAGCTAATGATCAGAAATATGCTCTCTGTCAATTGAATTCAAATTTTATTTGGAATGAAGCATTGATTCCTTTTTAATGTGTTATGCTTTATTATTTTAATAATACTTTATTGATGGCGTAGCATCATATAGGTATCCACTAGCTGAATTCATAAACATAGTAGAGGTCTGTAATAATCGATAAAAACTTTAATTATAAGCTACCCATTATCTATCATAATTTCGCCGGTGTTTTGATGACATCACATCAGTTAGATTGTTATGAATGAGGTCATTTGCTTTCAGCGTTTTTGAGATACTAGAGTACGAATATCAATACACCTAATTATTGTTCGACAATTCACTTCTGAGTATTACTGTGACAGCTCAAATAATGCAGCATTAGATCATGAATTAATTATCAGCACCATCTGATTATTCATTAACTATTAATTTAAGCCGTAGTTAAGGAATTAATGTAGTTCAAACTAAAAATATATGTGAATGGTATTTGGTGTTATAAATTTTATCAGCTGTTATTACTAGATTAATAAAAGAGTGCAAAAATTTCGTGGAGAAAATAGAATATACTCAGCTGTACATTGCCAAATTGGTAAATTGATTTTGTACGTTTTCGGATCAAGTGATGACTATCCAGTTAGCTAGTATATTAAGCCATCATATTCTTTAGTTCGATAATTATAATAGCTCTGTAAGTGCAATACGAAATCTGAGTCTTCATAAGTCACTTGATTGAATTTTGATTCTTGGAAAGATTAATCAATAGTTCTTTGTTATCGCTTTTACTATATCTTTATTTAAAATCTAAAATTACATGATCATAAGAAAAGTTCAGTTTATCGAGGATAGTAATCGAATCTTGAAGAAAATACAATCTTTTCGCTAGAGAAGCAGATGATAAAATCTTGGATTTACTAGTAAATGATTGCAATGCATCTGGTTATAATTGCATATTTCTAGAATTTGACTGTTTGTCCACAATATATTGTTCGTACTTTAAGCCGGTGCTATAATATAAGCTAAGAATTGTTACTAGAAGTACCGTTATTTCGCTTAATAATTTATAATTATACCCAAAGTAAAAGCAGGTTTGCCATTGGCTCTATGAACAGCATAGAAAATGATGGGAACGATTACAAGGTAAATCTTCCAGCATCAAATTATAAAAGTTATAATGCATTAAAAATTAATATAACCGAACTTTCTTTAAAGTATATTTAAAAGGAATTAGTGAATACAAAAAAGTAAATCAACAATGAATCATTTTTAATTTACGTCTTCTTATATTGTAATTTTATTTGATTATTCAGTTAATTTTCTAGCGTAGATGAACTTAGGGCATTCGATGAATAGGCGGTCTATATGATGTATCCTATTCCAGAAAATTGTACAAAGTAATTGCAGTACGTCTAACTGTTATAAATTATTAGTACAGACTATAGCTACGTTAGGCAGTTGTTTCCTGTAATCTATGACTGTATTTATTCATGCTATTTACATACATCATTATTACACAGGATACGTACAAAAATTAAATCATCGACAATTTAAGGTCAAAATGCTCTATTCTCTTTGAATTGAAGACAAGATTTTATTGTATTTAGTAAGTGAACTCTATTTAAGGGAATAATATAGTGATGAAAACAAGTTGTCATATTAGTAGAAGATAGCTTTAAGGATAATTTCAATATTTCATTATATCTAAAATATTGTTGTATGCAAATAATTATTTATAGAACATTAAATTGAAGGAAACAGACAGAAGTTTAACTTATGAATATTTCGATCCACAGTATCGTGCTTCAATTTTCATACAGAGCAATAGCTATAAAATGTATGAAATTAACAAGGCAGCACTGGATTGAAGCAATATAATTTTTGCTTGCATATTGAAAGAGATCAACATATACATCAATCCAATCTATAATCATAATAATATTGTGCGTTGTCGATCAGTTTATATCAGCATCTGCTATCGAGTGGAAGAGTTGAAAAGTTTGTCAATAAAAGGTCTGAATGTGTTGTTTACTGATGAAGAATAGTAAGGCAACGGCCACAAATTGGTGTTTATTCGCTTGTATTAAAGACATATTGGCTAAAACTTTTTCTCACCTTCTTCGTAGCAGTAATAGGATTGACTGAGTGATGCCTCCATGCTGCTAGACAACGTGGCCAGTGATATTGTTGTTTAACAGCTCGACGTAAATATGGATTCATTGCGCCGTTGATAATAGGATTGACGGCGCTGTTCATAAAATAGACGATAGTAGCGATGGTTTGAAAATCGTTGTATTTAGACAAATCTTCACTATTACTTGAATCGAAAGCATAGAGTGAACCAGCTACAAAATTGGGAGCAATGCATAATACATAAGCTAATAAAATTAGGCCAATCATGGATGTTACTCGGCGTTCAATTCGTTGTCGATTGGATGTTGCAATACTTGAATTTTTAGCATTCTTCCATAGCGTAATAACTACTCTACCTGAGCAATATAAGATAGTAAAGGTTGGAAGAACAGTACAAAATAGAGTTACTACGGTCACATAGAGACTTGGATCACGTTGCTGCATATTACACATTAACTTGGAAAAGTAAAAGACATAACGATTCCATCCAAATAATGGTGGCGCAGCCCATATTGCTGAATACATCCAAACACCGATAGCCATGATTTTAGCTCTTTTGATAGACATCTTGGCAACAAAATTAGGATCCATGGCACAGACAATGGCATAATAACGATTAATACTTAAAATTGCTAGAGAGCATAGGGCGTTATTGTAAAGTATCATGTCTAAAAATCCACCTATAATACAAAATGTACAACTAAATGGCCATACCAAAGTTAAAGAAATGGTGAAACATATTGGCATGACAATAATTGTAATAAAGAGATCATTTAAAGCAACATTGGCGATTAAAATATTAGTTGAGGTATGTAATTTTTTAATGGAAATTGTAAAAAAGATGATGGCTAAATTGCCAGTTAATGCTATAGTAAAAATGATGCCGATAGCAATGCTAGGCCATATTCTATACGACGGAGATAGAGGAATTGTAAAATTGTTGAAGCAATGATTAGCATGGATAGCACCAGCGCTCATTGTTGCTCGTTCATTAATTATAAGCGATATCCTTTAATGGAAAAAAATTGAATTATCCAAATTCGATGATAATGTCTTCAGAAGCATCTCACGATTGTTTACCACTTTTTTTTTATCGACGTCGTGAGTATTTCTGATGAAATTGCGTATTTGCCTTAGTCACGCTGATCATTAATCTAGGTATTCTTTTCAATTGTTAGTGCAGTTAATATCACGACAGTTGCATTGGGAAGCAATTTAGTCTACTCTTGTCTGTTGGTATTTATTTTATTGAAGCAGATGGTATTATTCACTCGTCTGTCTATTTCCTGCCTTGAATTGGACATCCTTATTGACCTCTTAATTATGGCATAGCAAGACCATGTGACTCTCTTAACGTTCTGCGAGAGAGACTAGAACAGTGGTGCCAAGTGGTAGCCATTGCTGTTGACCTTTGCTTCAAACTAATGCAGTTCTTATTCAATAGGAAATGATACTACTTGAAGCATATGGCTCATTTGATTTGTAGACAACGTAAAAAGAGACAGTGTATTTTTGATTTATTTGATATAGGACAGTAGATAAAGGTGATATAATTTGATTTTTATTAAAATTGAATGGAGGGAAGGGACAATCTATTGTACACTCAATGTACAGGTAGAAACAGCAGATCCTATTTACTTTGACATCCTGCTGATATTATACAATTGATTGAGCTCCATTACTGCGGTGCTTTTTATGAAGTATGGGTATAAATAATCCCGTGAATTATTGCATTGATCTCGAGTTACTTGGAAGTATTTGCATACTGTCGATTGTCTATCTCATGTAATAAGGGAATGTGGCCTTGTTGATCACTTTTAGCTTGAATGTATTTGCCTGCAACACACGCCATCTTGGCTAAAACTGATTGTCTATATTATCATGACACGATAAACTCATTTTGTATGGCAATAGATCCGCTGCTGAGCGATAACGGATGGACAAAAGTTGTCATTGGGTCAATCATGCCTTTCCTTTGTCGAAGCACTAGACTAAAAACAAGCTTGTATTGAAGATTGTCGTTGTTGTCATATGCGTGAAGGCGACATGGCCAACTACAACTACCTCATTGATTGGATGAATCAAGTCTTCCTTGAGAATTGATCAACCAAGAACTCTAAAAACTCCCTACGTATTGGGAATGAGGACTCATTGATAGCTATTTCAATTGATGGAATGACTTCATCCTTCAACTGGGTCTTCATGGACCATCCATTCCCATGGAGTATTGAAAGAGATCATTTGCCATTGAATGAATCCATGTTGAAGATCTGGCAGGTATTGATGGACGCATCGTCCATGATTGCGTGGAGATTGTCATACTGAATGCTTAGACAACAGTCGATTTCGACAGGCGTTCTTTCCACCGTTGCTGAGCGATGCTTCAAGTGGTGCAGTGACGTGCGCCTGCGCATGTTTCGATGCATACGAATGGATACTGTACAGTGTACAGTGTACAATGTACAGTCAATGATACGGTGACAGTGAGCATACTGTAGCGTACTGTACAGTGTACAGTACAGTACAGTACAGTACTGTAGACCACGAGCGATACAAATACCGTACTCTACTGTACTGTTGTACTGTACTGTACTGTACTGTACACTGTACCATTGTGAAATACAGTACTGTACCCTTCTGAAATACAGTACAGTACAGTACTGTACTGTAATGCGTACAGTGTACAGTACTGTATGCAATGACAGTACAGTACTAGACAGTATGGAGTCATTGTAGTGTACAGTACTGTACAGTGTACTGTCTGTATGTCATGAAAAGAAAACCGGTTTTCTATGAGTGCTACAGTACAGTATACTGTACACATTGCACTGTAGCTGCAGCATCGACAGTTACAGTATACTGTACTGTACTGTACAGTACTGTCTACTAGTGCTGCCTTAGTATACGAAAGTGTTTACAGTATAATACTGTATATGAGTGGCACTTTCATACCAAAACGACGTTTTTTTAATAGTAAACGAAAGTGTTGACAGTATATAGAGTGGCCCGTTCATACCAAAATGACGTTTTTGACTAGTAAACGAGCTGCTGTACACTGAAGTCGCCTTTTTATACGAAAGCGCTTTATACAGTATAACGTAAACGTAAGTATACACTACAAAGGCAGCAGACGTGTACACTGCGCAGTGACAACACACGGTATAGCGTCCTAATGCAAGGAACAGTACAGTACTGTACAGTATTGTAACTGTATCAACTACAATGTACAGTACAGTACATTACAATACATAGTACAGTACCGTAGTACAGTACTGTACTGTACACTGAGTGTACAGTATTAGTGTACAGTGTACAGTACTTCAGTGTACTGGACTACTGTAAACTGTACACTGTACTGTACTGTACACGGCAGCCTGCAGTGCTCCAAACAATCATGTTGTGTATACAGTAGATTGCATTCAGCATGGGATCAGGGCTAAAGGCACGTGCCCCTAAAGGTGCAGTACATAGTTCATACTCCGTTGACCATATGACCCATTGACCATACAGTGTCAGTGAATAGACAAGCGGTTTCGGAGCGTCAAACCAGTCCTGTACGATCCTAAGGCGTACTGCAATTTGATTGGTTGTGAGTCAACAACCGGTCCAACGCTCACAAACTTTCCTAGTAACCGTTGTCTCTTGGACTACAGTCGAGTGTATCGTCGTACTGTACTGTACAGTACTGTCTATGAAGATGGGTGATGTGTATGAGTGGAGTGAGCAATTGGGTCGCATGCCCTTCCAGACATTAACAAGTTAGACTGCACTTGGCCTTTTTTCTCGGTACACTACTTCAATTAAGTTCCCTTGACCGGCACGGCGGTACCATCAACGTGCGCTTTTACATATGGCGGCAATGGCGTCGCTAGTAGCTCGCAACGCCGTCAGGCGTGTTCTTGGACAAAAGTTAAGGATTATTCCATCCACTACTGTGAAAACTGGTCATATTATAGGTATGCTATGGTACACTTGCATCCATGTTGACGATTAAAACGCTTTTCTCTGTTGATTTCCATGAAGAAATTGCAATACGTATAGTGTGGGCATCGACGCCTTGAACTTGGAAAAGTGTTTTCAGTTATAATTTTCCTTCAAAGTTGATCCACTCGATAGCACTACGGTAGCCACCAGGTTAAAACGAACTAGTCTATCCGAGATGATCTGGGATCATCATGTTGATTGTAACAGTTGTACTGTCTGAACTTGCTTTGCTTGCTTCAAAAATAATTGTCGAGGATATCTGAAAACACTGGGTGCCCTCAACTGTACTGTAGACGATTCAATTTGAAATTGCTATACAGTACTTCAATGCATGCATTGAACAATTTTATACTTTGACTGCTCCTCACTGCGATATCTGAGGATCATGTTGAAATGAAGTAAGTAACCATAATATCCAGTCATGCACGATGATCGATCGGCAATGCACAGCACAGTATGTTATTGGAACGGATTTTGCACGTAGCAGTCAATGTAGTATACTGCATTTCGCTTCCTACTTTGTATTTGGGTAGGATAGCAGAGAACCAAATCAAATATCAGGTACTGATAGTATCATGACTACTGTTGTGCTGACTGTAGATTGACGCTTGATCCATGCTACTTGCTTCAACCAAAGTAGAATTAAAAATCTTATAGCGCAACTTTGATTGAAATATCAATGAAATATCTTTATTTTTAGGTTACGCTTGCATATGTCGAATAAGAAACCAACATACTGATGTCGAAAGCGAAGCTAAGAAAAGTGATTGGGATTTATCCGGTATTAAAAGATGGTTTGGCTTCGAGGACCCGCCGGTGAGGATCAGATCAAATTTACTGAATACAACTTACTACTCCATTGTTGATTCATTACTTGAGATCGCTGTAAATTAGATCAATGGCGCCGTCAGTCACTGATGCTACTTTACGTCTACTGTACCTATGAATGCTAAGGCTTGTGTAATCCATATTTCCACTTTTTTCTCACATATATTGCAGATCCCTACCGAAGAAGAGATGCAAACCAGAATGGAGTTATTAGAAAGAGTAAGTGCAACGGTGTTACTATAGTACTCTACAAATGTAGAGTACTGCTCAATAGCATGATGGTTTCGTTGGCTTTGACATTCATTTGTCAAAGCTTAAGAATTACCCAGTATAACATTGGAAATATTGAACAAAGTGTGTTATGACCATTCAATATTGATGTTACATACGAGTGATCGACTAATTTGTTCATTTGAATTAATTTCGTTATTCACGCAATGATAGGTTAGAGAAATGTATTATGCTCAGCCACCCATATCGCCTGATTATGAATTTTATGCAGAAGCAGTTAGAGCAATGATAAGATTTAGAGACAAACGAGCGGTAGAAACCATTTGTGATATGATGAATGAAGTCGATATGGAAATTCAAGATGATTTAAGGCTTGAGGTAATGAATGCCCAAATAGAAGAGTTTTAAAGTCTTGATTGATCAAGTCTTTCACAGTTGGTAATACGTCATTAATTTGTTATCCATTGCAGGTTGAACAATTTTTAGAACAGAAATATTTGGAAGACTACTACTAATTTGTCAGGGGATAATGATGGTACTTGTTGATGGTATTATTCTTACATCTGCTATCATTCTATTACTGTAACATAATCATTTGCGTTGTATCATTAATGTGCATTTTATACGGTTAAGTTATAATCGATGCAAAGTGATAGATTTTACATGCTATATAATTTCAGTATACGTAATCAACTTACCGTTCAAGTACAGTGATTATTACTTCTAGCTCAGGCATATATTCTAGTTATGCAAACGGTGGTGTTTACACGTTGAACAGTGCTTGATTCAGATATTATACGCCACCCAACTTTTATTTTAAAATAGCAATTGATCAAAATGTAAAACTAATAAAATTGTCCAGCGTAGCTGTGCTCGTAAGGCTAATAAACCAATCACTTTTCGGATATTGCAGAGTATGTATTATTGTGTGACTACGTTTCCTTTCTGGAATCCAACTCGATTGATTCTCAATCATGTGTTACACTGTTAATCACAGGCGGTATTTGTACCTTGGGTCGACAGTAAGATCTCCATTTCTATACTTAATTTATTAGCGATATAATGAATCGATTCATTGCTATTTGGCACTTGTACGCTATAGTAACTTCCTTGTATACCGTAAGTATAATTTAAACTGGGAATTTGGTAAACGTATGTAACGTGCAATTTTACATTTTCTTGAGAGATTTTCAAAGATGTAGTAGCAAGACATGAAGTGTACCTAAGGTCGATGGAATTTGTTCCATGTCTTTGTTCATAGCGATTGCTTATCCTTAAAGTTTAGTGTATCACTTACAAGAAGCATTACAACTACTTCAAGCAGATAAGAAAAGCTATGGTTACTTTACTTGCTTACCCGCAAAGACCTGCTCATGCTATGCACTTGAACAACGAACGAATCCATTGATCATATCACCCCAAAATCATCGTGGAATTGGAACTCCTAATCAATATTACGATTTACTTTGGTCATCATTGCGTATTAGGAGAGATTGAAAAGATTACTAGTCGAGAAAATATTGTTTGACCGAATCGACTGTACAATTTGGTGCACTATCATTGACGTTGGATTATAAATAAATATAATCGCAATAAATCAGCCAAAGACGACACAAGGTTTCATGAAATGGTAGAATAAAATAAGTTTGTTTCCGATTCCCATTAACCTTGACTTTTAGTCGTATTTTAGTCGAGTTGTTGCCATCCACAACAACGTCAGGGTACCCTTGTCTACTAATGAGACAGTATTTTACATCAACATTATACAGTATATGCTTACAAGGTTAAATGACTTTAATCACTCGTTTCTCCCTTTCTAGTCTATTTCATCTACGTAATATAAACAGTCGACCATGCAGTACGTCAAACACATACTGCATACTGTACATTTAGAAGCAATGTACAATTACAGTAAGTAGAGATGGCCAGATCATTTCCTTTTTAGTACAGTTATTTCCTTTGCGTTGTTGAGTAATGCTCTGAAATTGGAATAGACTTGGATCAAATTTGCCTTAATCGCCGTCGGAGTGATGATGATTTTTCACTTATCTTATGAACCTGCAGAAACGTACAGCCAATTCTCATACGGTACTCTATACGTTGAAGGTAATTTTATTCTAGGGGCATATCGTTAATTTTCCCTTTATTTTTTTACCTCCATGGGCTAACCCACGCCCATGATTTGAAGCTGGACGCAGTGCATTCCGTTCCAGACTGAACTAGTCCATGACAGTACAGTCATGCGTGCACTGTATCCGTCTAAGTTTTCTACAGAAACGGCAATAACGCAATGACCTGTCATGCGTACTTTGATTTAAGGATAGACTTTATACCGGATGAGAAATTAAAACATGTTTAGTACTGTACAGTACAGTAAAATGTCTAGAACTAGAGTACTGTGTACAGTAGCTAAAGGTCTACTGTACAGTACTGTACACTGTAGTGTCGTACTGTACATACTGTAGAACCCGTAATTTATACTGTAGTTGGGATCTTGGCTTGTGCTTCATGCAATCTTATTGTTGATTGTTTAATAGCGTACTGTACAGTGTACACTTTACGCCTTGGCACTTTAAATTGGAGAGACTAGAAACTAGGGTCTACTGTATGCATGAAACTTGAAGACTTCAAGTTTCATGCATACAAGTTGAAGTAACATTACTTTAGTCAGTATGGCGCTACAGTGTCTCTATCAGACAGTGAGTGACTTGGAGTCAAACTTGACGAATGTGTTTCAGCTGAACCACGTGACCGAGTGGTCTGACTTTTCCTAACTTCTCTGATTGGCTGGATGTTTCTACTGACAGTCGAGTCTCTTACAAGCACTTACAATGGAAAGTTACCGTCACAGTACAAGTTACATCATCGCACGATCTGTGTTTATTATGCGCTCTTGACAGGCGATGGATTGCGACTTGATTGGATACAGTACATTATACTGTACAAAAAGTTCAACATCTGATCATTTGCATTCAGTTTAACAGTAATTGCAATCATTGACAGGATTTACGAATAGTAGTGATATTATTTCAGAATCTCCACCATTGAATAAAGCGATTGGTTTGGTAAGAGAACGCTACCGAACGTTTCCAATATGGAGAATAGTTTAATAGAAGATTGGAATATGAGAAGAGAGCTTCCAGATGCGGGATTCCAAATGGAAACCGACAACTCTTATATGATTACTCCTGAACAGGATAAGGGTGTATTAGACGACATTGATGGTATGTTGGTATTCTTGATCGTATGATTTTTCTCCTATTTATCATTTTACGGAACCTTCCTAGCAAAGTGAAATGAAATGTTATTTCTCTTCATCTTTATGGATGAAATACTTTGGAGAAAAGATAGCTTAGTATTGCAAGTCTTTCGCCTTGATCAGTTTATGGACGCTTTGAATTATTCTAGAATAAAAACTGCATACTTTCCTTGTATTTCTTCAATCCACTCTTACTCACTGCATACTTTACTTGTACTTCTTCTATCTACTCTGACTTATTTTGGTAGTCTAAAAAAAGTTCTTCCCTACAGTGTACAGTACTGTACTGCCCGTTTGTCCTATTCATACTACTGTACAGTACAGTACCATATTTTCTACTGAGAGCGTATCCATGTTTCAGTCAGTACACTAACTACAGTACAATATAGCGTAGGCTTGGACCTCTGCTCTGTACAGTGTACTGTAGTATATGGTCCAGTCACGGACTACAGTATCAATTAAATGTCTTCAGCTGAACCTTCTCAGGCGTCCACTTTCAATACCGTAGATTGTTGTCAACTGGCGATTGTTGATGTGATTGTTTACTTCGTCAGTGATAACCGATGTTGCCGAAATTCAGCAGCTAAAACTTGGACCATGACTAATCGCATCAGTTCATCAGTTCTTGCTGTTTTGGCTACACTCTGCAAAGTAAATGAGTAGGAGAGTTATGTAGAGGATCGTTATTGAGTACAGTGTGTCAATACTTGTGGATTACAACGATGCCGACAGTTGTAGTTAGTATAGCAAGCGATAGCGTAATAAGTATTTTGCGCCATTCTACCACTGTATAGAATAGATCATGAGGAGTAATACTGTACAGTCTAGTCATTTCTTGATGGGTTATGTGTGCTAGCATACTACAGATGGAGTAAAACTGTACAACTGTTCAGTATCATCGGCCACCAGAACCAAGACTAGTTGAGGTAGTTAAGAGGAGATCAAAATTGACTACAGCTTTTCAGCAGTAAGTCTCTCGTTACAAGTAACAACCATGCATGCAATTCCAATGAGTTCAGATAGGATCGATGGAGCCAATGACGAATAGTAGATTGGGCCTCCTCTCGCTCTTACAACTTGACTTAAAATACCATGACAGAAGAAGGAGAAATTTTTCTGTGATGCAAATACATTCGATTAAATGATGCTGGATAGCAAGCAATATCTTGTCCATTGATACATACATATACGTGTGTATTTCCAGATCTATTCAATATGGACTATTCAGGAGAAGTCGGAGAATTCGATATTTCAGACTACCTGCAATCGGATATGCCCGTCAGACAATTTGATGACACTTTAGCAAAACTTGAATGCGATCCGTATTCATCGTTGATTAGCAATAATTCTGCTAGCATGGATGAAATCAAGCCAGTCAACGATAATAAGAAAGCGGCTATCATAAGTCAGTTAAGAGAACAGGAACAATTGAAGCAGAAACAACTTGAACAGCAAAGGCAGCTAGACGAATTGAGGCAACAACAGAAATTATTACAAGATCAACTTCAAAAAAGTCAAACAGGTGTTGGTACCCTGCCGAGTGTTGTAACACTAAGCATGCAAGCACCAATACTTCCTAATGCGACATCCGCTTATACACATAGTACGCCGATAGTGGGAACGACTCAACAACCACAGGTTAGAATTAAAAGTAATGGTTATACCTTGATTAATTTCGACCCTTGTTTTTATGTCGTAACTGATTCTTAAATTAGATATCTACATCTTAATCTTCTTAGCTTGAGAATAAATTTGTTTCGGTTTGCAAAATAATCGTTATCGCTTACTGTTACAGTTCTATTCATATTGTGCATTCGATATCTACGTGTATACTCAAGATAGAAATATTAGGAAGGACTACTATTTTAAATAACGTTACTCCATTCAGTTTTTCTACTGCACTAGTTGGAAGGCATTTATTTGCTTTCTGTACTCCAACTGAAATTATCAACTACTATTTTTCTAATATCGTGCGTGACACATCAAAGGTTTTACATACTTTTGACTAAATATCATGGCCGTCTTCGGTGTAGGTTGTACTATACCACCATAACCAACAGTAGATGTATTTATGAATTTGCTTACCAAAACGTACTGCTTGATGGTGTATTGATTAAAATTATTATCGATTGATAGATTGTGTTGGCTCCGCAAGTCAAGCCTGAGGTAGCTTCTACCAAGCCTTCGGCTGTCAGCGTTGCATTCACCTCCGGTTCTGTAAGTTATACCAATCTTGTAAACACAAGTGGCGTACCGACAGTTATCGGAAGATCAAATGGAAATTTGGATAGTGAAAAAGTTCCCATCAACAGGATTTTAAATAGCAGTTCTACACCAGTTCAGAACGTCAGCAAAAGTGAGCGAAGATCGGCTCACAACGCTATTGAACGACGCTACCGTACTAGTATCAATGATCGTATCATAGAACTGAAAGATTTGCTTGTTGGTCCAGACACTAAGGTTTGCTGCAAAGATCATCAGAAATTGGCAGTAATACTGATAGTAAAATCATGTATTTCTTCTATCTAATTATAGAATTTTTAATTTGTATTAATAAATGGCGTAATTGTCTTGTATGTTTTTACTTTTGAAACCGTTAATAGATGAACAAGGCTGGTATTTTACGAAAAGCTATAGAATACATTCGATATATACAAGACGTTAACAAAAGACTTGAAAAAGAAAATATAGCACTTAAAGAAGGTATAGTCAGTCACACTAATGTATTTTTAGTAGGAATTTTATAATGTCTCCTCTAGGCTGCTCATGAACGAATATCGGATTATCAATATTTTATGCTTACTCTTAACAAATTGACGTTTTTTAGGTAAATCAGAATCGCTTGCAAAATTACCTCAAATGCAAAGTGGAAATAGCAATTCTTACCAACAGCCTACACCACCAATTTCGTCTGACGATGAAAGCAATCTTACTCCCAGCCCTACAAGTAGCAGCGCTGATAGCGAAGATTTAAAGATGAAGATTGATATTCCGAGAGGAATCCATGACAGCACCCGAGTTGGTTTATGTGTGTTTTTGTTTACTTTTTTATTATTTAACCCTTTCAATATGGCTTCACTTCAACAAAATGGCACTCCGGATGATGCTATGTCTCCTCGCGTTGGTGGTCGTATCTTACAAAGTGTAAGATATCCTAAATTTGATTGATAATAAAAAGGCTATATGACACGTTATCGTAAGTAAACGGGACCGCTTATTCTTTTTAGGAGGAAAGTATCGAACCTGTTACTGATATGATGAATGCAGCTTTTGGTTGGAGTTTCCGCATCGTCATGGCAATCGCATGTATACTCTATATATTTGCTTTCGGCGAACCGGTTTCTAGACCAAATTCTAAATCGGCAGTGCATTATTCTCGTAATTTTCATCAAGCAGATATCGATCTTAAGAAGGTGAATAAATCTGTATTCAATTATGTGTTCAAATTGTATGCAATACTAAGCTAGGTGTATTTTCTTTATTAGGGAGATTATACATCAGCTGTTCGTCATCTACGTATGAGTTTGCGATCTTTAGGACGTTCACAACCCATGTCAACTTTCGACTTGATCTCAAGTTTAATATGGCAAATTTTTTTTCAAGTTCTAAATTTATTCTGGATTGGTCGGTGGTTGTCGCTTTTACCAGGTTTCGGTTTGAATTTTAGGAAAGAAAGTAGGAAAAATGACGATGCGCGCTCTTCAGCAAAGAATGCTGCTTTAGCTTATCATCGACTAAACCAACTAACACTTACCGGTAAGTGCTGCTATTTAATTAATCGTATTTAATGTTACAGATAACTACACATGTAGTTCAACATATGGTACATGAAATTTATTCGTATATTATTTAAACCATTTTCCATTAGGTCACAATCCTGTATCAAATTTATCAGCTATCAATTGTGCACTAACGGCAGTAAATCTGAGTGAATTAGCATGTGATAAATTATCCAAGGAAGACAAGGTCGACATTTTGGTATCAACAGCGTTTGCTTTGAAAAGACACCTATTTAGACCGTTAGATGTCTCTTCTGTTAGTGATGCTTTATTTAATATCGTTTTATTGATTATATTGGCACTTGTATTTTTAGAAATAAGTACCTATTGATATTTTATTATAGCGATTATACCTCAGCATTTCTCGCAAAATATGTCAGCTACATCCTGATAGAGCTTTGTCAGGCTATCAGTGGTTGTTTGATCCACGTGGACATAAATTTTTCACGTCTGGCAATTGGTCGAGCAAAGAGGAAGACAGCATCTGGTCACTCGTAGAAAATAGCTGTACGTGGTTTTATCAATAGAATTTTTGTTGATGTTTTGACATTAGTATTATTGTGGTATCTAGAATTTAATCAAATCAGTCTAAGGGGCTTATTGACGTTCTGTCTTCGAATTTGTGATATTAGATAACCCAAACACTCACTTCAAGAGGTGTTTCAGAGAACACTTACTGCAGCATTCGTTAGAAGCCCTTTTAGTTCCTGGCGCAATGGATGATAAAGACCGCAGGGTTACAATTGCTGATACAATTAATTGCTTACGTTTACTGCGTGAGCAGGCGGAATTATCGGGAAATATTCCCGAAAATGTTACGATAGGTGACGCTGCAGCTAAAGCTCTTAGTAGCGATGTAGTTGCAAAATGGTGGTCTTCTGTTGGCTTGGTCTGGGCGCATTGGTTGAAAGGTGATAATAATTCTGCTAACAATTACTTTAAGGAAGTGGAAGAAATGCCTGAACTAATGAAGCAGCTAAAGTAAGCAGTATCTTTGCTGAATTTGATAGAACTGTTAGCATCATTGTACTTTGTCCATTGTATATTAATTTGCTCTTGTTTACAGGGATCCTTTGTATGCTACTATTACCATAGCCTATCGTGCACGTCAAATGGTAAATTCTCCGGAAAATGTACCAGCAGATTGTTTTAATTTATGCAATGACGCTGGGCAACTAATACAAGAGAGTATAACATCAACTAGTCATCATTCGAACAATAAGCTACTTAGAGTGAGTTTATTAAAGTATAAATTTTATTATAGCAACTATCGTTAGTCTAAATATAACATACTTTTGTGTTATTCTCCATAATTAGTACGCCCAACTTCTGTGTGTCGAATGTTTGGCAACTACACGTGTTGCATTGTGGGAAAGTGATTGCAGTAAGCCGAAGCAGTCTTTATCTTGTAGTGAACATCTCAAAGGATTTCGCCAAGATATTCACACGTTGCAATCCTTTGCTCAGCAATTTACACTTGCTCAACCTCGCGTAAGTGAATAGCCTTCAGCTACATTTTAATTATTAATAATATTATTTGTTTATATTGGGATGCTTATGACCCTGTAAATTTCTTTTTTATCACAGTTATTCTTGTATAAGGCCGTCGTAAGAATTATGGCCCGCGCCAATCCTGCTATAACACAACAGTTGATTGACCGTTGTATGCATTCAAACTTACGCTACCGTGGATCTGGCTTAACTAGTGAACAAGGTAGGTTTATACAAATTATACGACCTTAATATTTTTTATTATTGACAATGTATCTCACTGTTTTTATGCTTTAATTTCAGTTGTAAGGGTAAATGACAGAAATTCTGCTGACGCGCTCATTTTGGCACATCGATATTTACCGAAAGCGATGTTATCGACACCTGCTATGAACGCTGATGCTATCGGCAATGTAGCTAGAGCATTAGAAAGTATTGGAGATATTAGCAAGTTAAAGGAATGTCAACGTTTACTGATGAGTCTAGGCCCTGGAAAGATACAAACTACATTGTAGAAAGTGCGCTGCAGCTGTTTTGATTTCATGATGCACCCGTTCCTATTGGTAAGGAATTGAATTATGTAGCTATCTGATTATCCATGTACCGCAAAGTCAAAATAATTAGAGCTAAATTTATTCCTTGTAAATTCTGACCCTTTAGCGTTAAAATACTTACGCTGTATTGCGGTAGATAAAGGTTTCCTTGAGATCATACAATAAAATTTGTAAATTACTTGTGCACAGAATTTATCATTCCGTAATTAGTACATGTATGTGATCTTATTTATATTAATGCATTCCGTGATATTTTTGGAAAAGCTATAGATGATAATGGTACTATATATGTCATTAAAGTGGATTTATTGTAATTGTGGAATTCGAATGATCTATCCAACACAGCACTATTCGTAATTATATGACTAATGTAAATTACTAAAGTGGATAAATGTACTTACACGCGCCTCTATTAAAGAGTATGAGCCTTGTGTATAAACAGATACTGGTTTGATACTGGCTGGATAAAGCTAGTGCAATTGTCCTACTGATATCTTATTAGAATGGTTAATTGTAGAAACTTTTAAAAGTATAGCATCAATTATTCCTTGATATTGCTCATTAACAATTGGATGGAATGATTAATTGATTTTATTCTTATTGTATATTAAGATATGGCAGATATGTTCTACTAATAAGATTTTGTCCAAATTTTAAATGTGGAGTGTAATAAACTCAGAATGCTCATAGGTTATACAGTTTAGTCTTCAATTAATGAGTGCATATGAAGCAAGAATACATTCGATGGTGTTTGAAGTATGTGCAAGTGATGCAGTGAATTGCATAGTATACATCTGCCAACTAGAATATTTCTTTTGTTTGCATCTCTAAATGCCAGATCTACTGTAAGCCAAAATTAGTGTATGGCCATGGATTACTAAATACTTCTGGTCTCGCCACTTTTAAAATTAAAGTGAAATACATTAACAATCAATTTTAAAACCGTAATTTTAGACAGTCTAGTATCAATGAATGAGAGAATACGCCACTGTACTTTTACATACTGATATGATATGATATACTGTAATTGTTCTTTTACGCGAAAAGATATGCCAGCAATCAGTGTACCTGTCAGTGCAATAATAAAAATAAAATATAACTGTTGAACTTCTACTAGATTGCAGGCTGCAGGATAGTTCTCAAACTAGCTGTAAGTCATAAATAATTAAAAAGGCGTTAGTATGCGACTACATACTGATTCTAATGCTACAACGTTGATTAGCTCAATTTAATTAATTAGCATCGCAATGCCGGGTCGCTAGTTATGCGTTTCTATAAACTGAGTACAGTGCTACTGCCGTAATATTCATATTTTAACATAGGTTATATCTGACTACTCAAGTCAAACCTAATTAATCTATAGTCTTGCCAAAAACTATCCAAAGATAACAATACTCTTAATATAGATGCTTTATTTTTGTGTTGCAATAATGCAATTAATTTAAAACCGTCTTTAAATCTGAAATTTATTCAAAAAAAGTCATTTAAAATTACAAATGGCAAGTTATCTGTTACCTGAAGCAGTTATGTTGAACAATTTAACCAGACATTTTTAATGATATTTACAAATTAAAAAGACACTGCAATGCATACTTGATTTAGAATACAAATTATCAGGCAATCTGAATAAAATGACTTGTTTTCGGGCAGTATCAATACGCTACCACATTGTTACTCTTTAACGAGCTATAGGTATACCTTAGCTAATGAAAAGCAATGTTAATATAATCCATTGTACGATTAGTTGTGCAAAATAATGAGTAGTTATTCACTAATGTTTACAGATAGTAATCTATTAACTGACAATATTATCAGAGCCCATTTGACCTTTAATCTTGGTTCAATGCTACATCGATTTATCAATTTCGTATTTTTATAATATATACGAATTCTAAGATTCATCGAAGCTTTTTTGTGTTCTGATCTATCCCTTATTGCAACATCAACAGTATCCTGAATATCCCAAACTTTAGAGCCATGTTGTATATAGTCTTCAGTTAGCTGATATTCATTATAATATTCTTACGGTCATAGATGTTAGAAATGTCTAACTATCTCAACTGTGATAATATCGCTTGAAACAATTTTATTTCAATGCTGTCTCTCAACAATCAATCGCTGGAATGGATACGTAAAGAAGATGACTCGATATTAAATATTTATTTTACTAAGATTTTAGCTAATAGGGATGATAAATCAATCTGTACATCGTAATAAAAGCCTTTAGTTTTTGATGACTGGTATTGTCAAATAAAAGAAAGACAGGATCTTTTGTAATAAACAGATACATACTATTTTCTCTCTTAAAATCCTAATGATGCAAAAATAATGATCGAACGTGTTAATCAAGTTTACTCAGTTTTGGAAAGTGGCATAAAATTGCTCTAAATTTAGCGTAGACAGTTGGTATGTTTAACAACTTCTAAATTTGGATTTGTTGCTACAAAATTTGATGCTTTAAATTATATAGTAAAAGTTACATTTAAGTATATTTGTTTCAAATTCGATCAGGACGACTTCTTGAATAATTACGGTATCCATTTAACTGCTATAATAAAAGACTAATAATTAATTTTAGAACGTGAATATATTCTAGGTTAGAATATATTCAGGAAGTAATATTAACTTTCAAAGTTGTTAAAAATCAATTTGGACAGTTGTAGTTTGAAACAGCTGACAAATTTTGAAATCGTAAATTTTTGCTCTATTTCTATCTGTTAATTTGCAATGAAATTATTCATAGATTATCGTGCTGGACCACCTGGTCGTAACCTCATTGATTATTGTTTGAATAAGTCGTGAAATCGTCATAAAATAATCATTTAAACTGAGGGTATTCTAGAAGCATTTGTTTTTAATTAATGCTTGTTGTGCCATTAAAGGTCATCATGGCACTTCATAGAAATTACATTTCATCGCAGACGTAGAAATTGCGCCTTTAGGATTTAAAATTACTTATTATAGTGCTTAGATCAAGAACCAAATACATTTGTATACCGAAGCACTCACCTAAGCCAAATGTGTCGCCCAAATTAAAATTTAAATTGTTCAAATAAAATCAAGGTTTCTGATTTTGCATGTTATTTTTTATGGACATCATATTACTAATTGTTTGTAAATCCTAGTTTGTTGATTTAGGAATAAAATTAAACTTTCAAGTGTGCTCGTTGTTATGATTTAAATTATATGACATGCTTGTATCGATAGAAAATAAAAAGATTTACATCACTAAAGGACTTAAATAGCGATATCAATTGTATAACAGTAGCGATTGCCATATTCTCTAGTATTATTATCTTCAATGGCATATCTTTACAAAGCGATAGACGATTGGCATTGACTTTCAGCAGTTGTAGCAACCTTATAAAAAAATAAAAGAGAAAAAGATTGAGTGACGAATTATTTTCGATCTTATGTTAACAGAGAGTAGATATTAATTTATAAAAATTAAAATTAATATACTTGTTTAGCTAAATTATACGACCATCTGGCGAGTTGTGTATGTAGACAAATGGATTATAATAAGTTGTAATTGAAATAGTAACAATCAAAAATGATGGCGACAATTAGTGATCACTTTATCTATCAATTGATTATCAATTGGTTTTTGAAAGGTTTTTAATGATTGATTATAAGCATAATATTATATAAAATGGACTTATCAATAAAAATAATCATGTTGATTACTTTCATGCAAAAATAACTCAACAGAATCGCTTCAACAATGATTCTTCGAAATAGAATTGAATCTATTTTGACTGCATAATATCAATTAATGTTAATCTAACTATAATCAGATCATTTTAGATTTGACTTTTGTTTTCGCTATAATGAACTTATTGATACCGATGATTTATAGATATAAGCGTGCATGTATTGAATGTAAAGAGTTTATTTTATTTGTTTATTATCGACTAATTGTTGAGACAGGAGTTTAAATATCAAGGTATACGGTATCCTATTAAATTGAATTGTTCCAATAAATGATTGCCGTCTATTTACTCTCTTTCATTGTTTGATTAGTCGTTATTTGACTGTTAAGTTTTAATTTAAACCTTATGTGATTAATTAAGTGCAACAACACCTTTGATTGTAATCGAAATTGGTCTATACTGTATTGACACTAGATAAATAAGAAATGCTTTATTGCGACGGAATTTATTTCTCTACCGATATTTATAAAATTTAATGATAATTGATTTGCTTACTGTAATTTATGATTGATATTGTGTATCATTTTAATCATTGTTAAATCCAATGGACGATCCTTATTGAACCAATAAATTACATTAACCTTCGAATACAGAATTGATTAAAATGATTTATATAGTAATATAATGTTACTTTCGTTACCCCACCTTGATCGATCAAATCATAACATTATCTAATTATAGCATATGGTATTCACTATCCAGACTTCAAACGGATGTCAATTCTCATATTTGACTTTTATTCTATAATGATTATTTATAGATTCTGAACTATAGAATTTCATATTTAGAGGTTATTAATTGACGCTTAATTGCTAGGAGAAATGATCACTTCTAGCCATATGTAAAATCGTTGTTTAAGTAGTAGTTAGAAGCGACATTGTTTGTAGACATGGCTAGGTTTCTATATTGTGGTGATAATATAATTTAAAGGCTATTATTTTTCTATCTGCTTGAAAATTATGAAAACTAATTTATTCTAAGTAAAATCTCTACCTTCATGTTGAGCTTAGTAGATAGGTAACAATGCATTTTTTTTGTACGATAGGGATATACACTACATTATCTATAGTCTTTAAATGCTGATGATATGAAGTTATGAAATAAAAACTGATCGACTGATTTACATACTTTTTATTTCATATTCGCTTGTAATTCTATGCTAACACCATAAGCGAAATAAAAAAATAGTAAGATTGAATTAAGGACTCATATAAGCTATATCATTGCTCATGATGATTTTATATGCTGTACCTACCGTTAAAAGTAGATCAATTCAACTTTTACTATCATAATATCATAAACTGATTTAATAAGAAAATCTTGCATAAAAATAATAATATTTTCAAGATCGATATTCATGAGCTTCCAAAATGAACATTTGAAGTCTTCCATGAAAAAACAAGAGAAGCATAGAGTCCATTACAGACCAGAATTATCCACAATCAGTTTATCAGTTTATGGTAAAATTGAAGTTTGTGAATAAAGAAAATCGTCTTATGCCAAGATCCCTTGAGTAAAAATGATACAAGGCATTAAAGGTCTAAAATGCATCGTTTACTATCTAGATTTAATTCTGAAAATAGCCTCAATTAAAGAATTACAAATAGTTGCCATGACTCATTGTCTAAGAATTCGACAGAAAATTGATTTAAAACTAATCTTCGTTAGTATTGCTTTTTCATTCTGCTATTAGGTTACGAGATTTGCTGATGTTTTGAATAGTTAGGAAAGCCTATCAAGAGTAATCAATCGTTACTAAAATGTTCATTTAGTTAGCTGCAATTTTTTTAAAACTTGGAGCAGTATGTCTCCTCATGTACTACGGCGTAATTAACGATGTTAAAACGAATGAGCTTAAATTCTGTCAACCTTTTTAATATTTATAATGATTAATCAAGTATTTATGCCTCTGTCATAAAACAGCTTTACAACAAGATAACGTAATATATGGTCAATAAGTCAATTCCTTGAACAACGTATCAAGGAACGATATCTGCACTATCACAAACACTTTTGCTCTACTAGCAGACTACACAAAGACTTAAACGCCTCGTATTTTACGTTAAGCACTAAGTTGGAAATCCGCTTTATTACACGATATACTGCATTTATATACTCTTCTTTAATAGTTCATGAGTCATAGTTAATACAATTAACATTGGAATTATTTACTGAATTAGGTATTAATTTTAGCTACTGCTCCCTTTATGCAGACAACAGTATTTACGAACATAGACATGTAATGACTAATACAGAATAGTTAGATTACGATATGTCCTATCACGGAGCATTTCCATGATAATTTACGATCTACCATAAGTAAATTACAATCATAATGATTGGAACTGTAAGTAGATGATTTGGATTCCCTATTATATCTATTAATTTCAGTATGTGTATAAGTGTCACTGTCATAAAAAGTCAGTGCTATATTAAAACACAGCATATCCAAATTAGAAGTTAACTAAATAAGGATGGGCTAAAAGAATTATCCTAACATAGATATTTCTACTGTAATACAGTACATAACACTGTCACAGCCTCAAATGTCCATTCTAAGGCTAATTAAAGAAGCTCTGTTGACATTTAGAGAAAGGCATATTAGTTATTAGACATAACAATTGTTTCAATACGAAATATTCACGAGAATAAGTGTAATGTAACTAGTATTGTGACTGTAGACTATTAGCCATGTTTAGTATAATGTACGGTAGATATTTATCTTAAGAGATATTTGGTAGCTATAACTATAGACTGTAGTGGTATAGACTCTACGATAGAGTACAGATGACTATATACAGTAAGGTGTTGAGCTACTAATAAGGCTATAGGTAAAAAATAGAACTGTAAATTATATATTAGGATATGGTTAATTCATTGTACTTTGGCTGGTGCGAATAATGTCTACGTAAGTACTGTAGTCGTATCCATATCAGATTAATGATGGTCCGCTATAAAATAGTGTTACTAAGAATAATTTAACTATTTGTAAAATAAGGTAAAAGATTGTCATTCGGATTGTAGCTGGGAATGCTACGATAAATATAAAAGCATGCAACTCTAGCTTATTCCGTTAGTTCGTTGTAGAAGTCTTTAGTAGTAGTATTTGGCTAGAGTAGAGCTGTATGTAGTTAATCTTAGTATAAGATTCAATAAAGCTCTTATTTTTCTAAAATTTGGAATTTCGTGATTGGTATATATCACAACAAGTTATCATATATAGGTGTCCCAGGGGTGGCGATGATTGAGCTATGTTCTCTTTTCCATCTATGCTTATATAGTAATATAGATATCGGGTTATCTTATTTGAATGATCAACTGTAAAATAATCCAATAGAAGTTAAAGTTGGTTCACCGATAACCTTAGTTTATTATCTTTTTTGGAATGATAGATTGCAGTAATATACATACAAACATTTTAAGGAGGAAGCTAGTTAAGAATGATCGGTAAATTTATTATTGAATGACGTCAATCCGGGACAAAATTAAATGCGACTTTAATTAAAATTTTATTCGTGGTATTTTTCAAGGACTTTACATAATCGTGCATGATAGTCTTGTTTAATTTACTTTGTTATTGATATAAAATTGCCGAGAATTTATACATCAAGTTATAATTACTACTGTTCCTTTTGAATCGATAATAATTATTCGTAATTTTTAAATAATTTACCTTAAAAATTTATAGATTTAAACCATTGAAATCGTTTGCTATTTAGATTATCAATCAATGATGTCTAGTTTATTTTTATTTCACAAATGCATGAGCATTGAAGGTATTGTCAGATGCGAAAATTTTTTCGGCTGACATCATCCTTAAGGATTTAAATACTGCATTACTGAGAAACATTTGTATATACTAATTGTACTTATTTCGGTACTTACTCTTATTCTAATTTAATTTATCATCGCTTTAACTTACAATGAAAATTTATTGTAATGTAATTCATTGCGGCTGTAAGAAATCGTTTCTGCGAAAAATTTGTTAAATTTGAATATTGGATGATATTATAATTGTATTAGAATAAGTAGATAATCAGCAACTATTATTATGATCGTGTCAATCACAAATTTAGGCCTGACTCTATTATCGATTAGATAATTCTTCTTCACTATCAGATAGTGGATATTGGCCAGGAGATCCTTTACTTTCGTTTTCATCATGATCTTGTCCATCTAACTTATTGTCCTTTTTCCACTTTACGCGACGATTCTGGAACCATATTTTAACTTGCTTCTCCGATAAATTTAACATATTAGCAATCTCAATCCTCCTCAGTCGCGATAGATATCGGCTACTGTTGAACTCCTTTTCTAATTCTAATAACTGCATACTGGTATAAGCTGTTCGTATACGCTTAGTTCTGGAAGAATGACTGGTCGATTTCATGCTAGTTTTATCTATGGAAAAGGTTAAATTATCAAGCTTAATATTAGGTTCAAATCAATTCAGAATGATCAAGTTGACAATTTTAATTCTACTTTAAATGAACGCGAAGAAAAGGCTTTCAATACCTTGCAAGAATTTACTTGCTTTACAATATGTTAAATGGTCTAACAACAGTATGGCGAAAGATAATTACAATTATCGAAAGACTCTAATTTGAGGAAGTATCATATACACACTTCTAATTAAATTAATCTATAGAATAAAATATCAACTGATTGGTTTATTAGCATCTAAGTGAAAATAGTCATGATTTTGAATATCGATTGATAACTGAAAATAGAATAAAAACAATTTTTATCTAGTCCTAACTTCGAACCACTCTGTGACTTTTCGATATTACAGTAGTGTTTATACTATTAATTTAGTAAATTTCTATTGCATTACGAGATGCATATAGAGGTTATTCTCCTATATTTTTCTGTTCGCTTATAAAATCTTTTACCTGATGCTAAATCTGGATGTTGTTGAGTGTCGGTATTTTGGATTCCTTGGAAGGCTGGTAATGATTGGTGATGATGGTTGTCCAATCGATATTGTTGCTGATGGTATATGGCAGGATCGACTATAGGCGATGGCTTTACTAGAACTGGCCAAGTGACAGTTGATTTGGGTATACAGACTTGACATGATGAATAATTGGGGTTGCTATCATGAGGCCAAGAGTGATAATTCGACGGCAGATAAAATGGTGCCATCATGGAAGAACCGTTAATGATGGCATTGGTTGGATTACCTGGACCGATTAAACTTTCAATTTTAAAAGATGTATTGGCCATGTTTTACCTGTTAAATATTGTTATAAAATTCTAGCATAAACTAATTTATCAATGAATCAATTGTGGCAATAATTGAAAATGATGATTAGTGTTTAAACAGATATGGATAGTAGTTAAAACTTTAAAGTCTAAATTGATGTTAGCAGTAATTAAGTTTAACTATCAATGTTGTTAACTCAGGCGATGAATGATGGAATGTGATAATTTTTTACTAGCTCAGGGCTTTTATATACTAGCATGATGTTATAGATATATATAATACATTTAATTGATATGGGAAAAAGAGGAGTGGAAAATAACAATTTGCTTCTCTGTATTTATAAATACTTTTTATTTTCGTCGCTAATTCTAACAATTAATGAATATTTTAATAATTTAATACCAATTGTCACCCAGGCACGTTGTCAATAGTAAATAGACATTTGTTAGTTAAAATTTTTGCAATTATACGTGTATATCTACTTGATTTACATATATTCAATAGACGATAGAACATGCTTTAATGCCATAGTATTTACTTAATTCTCTTTTCCAATATTTATCTATATCAAGACTGTCTATTCCTAAAATAGTGAGAACATGATTTAGACTTGTTTCTGTCGTGCAAAGTCATTTTTATCGTCATCATTAACTTAATTGGCAATGAATGAATCTTTCTAACATTATACGCGTTATTATTCCACCAATTATTAAATAAAAATAATTTTTATAAAAATTAAAAATTGACATGCTGTTGTGACAGGCTAAAAAAATCCAGTGATATCATCAATACTATTGGAAACTAGTCATCACGACTAATGAATGTATAAATAGGGTGGAGAATAAGAGTATATAGCAACAATTAAGAGGGCATGCAATTCAAGGAAATCCCAAATGGACGGAATATCGATCAAAAAATAGATTGCTATGATAATAATAATAACGATAATACAATAAAATGATGGAAGATAATAGTCAATAAGATAAGAATCTACTTTTAAGTTTAATTTCTGATAATAGTTTAAATTCTTTTCATGAGAATACGTTTATAATAGGTATCACCTGTGCTTTTTATTAACATAAATCAATAGTTGATTCCTTTGCCAACAGTTCTATTATCATTTTTATTTAATTCATCGATTTATTTATGTATAACGGCAGGTTAATGATAACAAAGCTAGCGGGTCAGTATCAACAAAAATACTGTTCTATTTGACGATTAATTATCAATACAAATCCATGAAGGTAAAATAGAGTAAGGATTGAAGAAAGGCTGTAGGTGTTCAATTTTATATCATATACGATGTTCAACGTAACAATCATCGATTCAAACTAATTAAATTAACAATTGATCTATTTAAATCTAGTAGTATGGTTGTTAGCAGTTGTTACAATTTTAAAGATAAATTATAATTATTTTTATCAATAATAACCACTGGCCATTTCGCAGCATTATGGATTGTAATGTGAGCATGAAATAGCCAAGTAATGATTCGCTGTACAATAGATAGTAGTATATTAAGGTTTAACTTATAGAGCTACTATCTGATTCGAAATGGGCTAGTTACGTAGACAGAAACTCTATAGACCTAATTCATTGAGAGATAGTTAAATCGAATTTTATAAGGAGCTTTACCTTAGTAGTTAATTAATCTTTTAACTTTGATAGTAATAGTGACTGAGACGAAGTAGCTCATTGAGAAAATTACTCATTATCTGAAAATATCGCTGTTACTAATTATGAAATGATAGCTGTGCATAAACGTGACATTTTTGTATTCTCTAGGCCAAAGATATTCGACGATATTTAATATTATCAACGGGTGGTGTTTCTCACCATCATGATAAAATTAATCGATATTTGTATATATCCTTTCTTTAGTGACAGTAACTCAACTTAGTTTAAAAAGGTATAATTAAAGTTTGATGTAAGGTAATGATCGCGCATATTAACTATATAGCTGTTTTAGCATAATAAAAATTGAACTATTATGGATCGTCAATACTGAAAGACATCGAATTACTTATAACATAAAGCTTACTACATTAACAACATGTAGGATTAATATTTTCGCTGTCTTATGAAAGTCAGACAGGCCGTAACACTTTGCATTACTTATAAAGCAAGGGTTAATTAAGCAAATAAAGAAGAATATATGGATAACTCAAGGGTAAATATAGCACAGTTATAATAGCAAATGATGCAGGCGTTCAATTGTCTTTATAGAAAACGAATCACTTTACATATTTAAATGTCACAGTATGGTTGTGTTTCAAAATTATTAAATTCCACTTTAGTAGTAACATTGTAACCCATCATCACTAGATTAGTTGGAGCTGGAAGGAACATTTGTTGGCTTTTAATAATGGAATAAAAAATGAATATAGTTAATTTTTGTGGATTTAATATTTGATTTGTTGAGCTTAGAAATTAGAACATTCGTCGAGTAGCATATAGATAACTGATCATTTGATTAGTATTATTTCTATGTATTCTATTTCCGAAGCATATTAACAATCTTATTTAACTGTACGGATAGGATTCAAAGTTGCCTATTTACTATAGTGAAATATCATCAAATTGTAAGAATATTTAGTAACATTTAAAAAAGAGCTATGGTAATTTGTAACTGGATACTGTTGGCAGTTTTGATTGTCTAAGATGATGTGGATTAAAGTTCTATAATTAGATCTACTTAAAAAATAATACGTTGGTAAAATAATAAGTGTTGCGCGAAGTGGAAGTGGTGCTAAGTTATCGTTGAGCAGTTTATCACCTACTGAGATGGATTTAATAATAGTGATTACTAATTCCTGATAAATGCTACAAATAAATAGCAGTATTAAATTAATTGTTCTTTATTCCAACTAGGAGAGCGTTTAGCATCATTTTCGTAAAATATATCTTATGCTACCAGACCCAAGTTAAGAGAAAGCAAGACTCTTGAATTGTTCAGGCTAAGTCCGATTTAGGCAATACGAGTAGGATCTGTTGCTCGTTTACATTTTCGTCTAGCCACTAAAATAAATATTATGATGATCAATTGATTAGACTTTGTTGCGTTGGTAATAAAGGCAAAAATCAGTACTGTAAATTTAATAAACTGTACTATCAATCAGCATTTTAAATTGAGATTGATTTCATTAATTTGATGGAGTGATGATTTCAGGGTGAAATTGATCTAAACACGAACATTCTACGTCGTGCAAGAAGAACTTGATAGAATTCAAGCTAATAGATAAAGGATAGATTGTATTGAAAAGGAATGACAGCTTGCTAATGCACGCTATAATTACAATATAATATTATCTATAGCTCTAATTGCCTCCATAATCAAGATAAGATTGATAGTAGTTGAGATAAGACGTTACGCTTTCTATTGTAATTATCTTTGTCCTAGATAATAAATAACTTTTATAACCAGAAAATAACCTCAATAGCTGATGTTGGCATAGAATGAGACTTATTTATCAACAATTTAATTGTTATGTTAATATCATTGAGTTCGATATTAAACAATCGGCGCTTTTTTAGAATGATCGCATTCGGTTACTCCGTTGTTTCGTTATTTTAAGTTTATTTTATTGTTCTCAATTTTGTCTTTCTTATAGGTTTGTTGTATTACATAAGCGAGAAGAAACTTTACGTGCCAACATGATCCATTTTTCTCTCATGACTTTAATCTGTACTAAATTCTCGCATTGTATTTAAGTGTAGCTGAATGCAAACAAGTTTGCATAAGAAATTCCAATCATACTTTAAGTAAATCGATTAAATTTAGTCACATTAGACAGAAGTCAGCTTGAATAGTCTAATTTGTTCTTTTCCAATCTTCAAAGGATTTTATAAAATTGGTTGTGTTACACTAATAAGATGAGTATTGATTACTGTAAGGAGTAAAAGTACATCTATTAATAATCCATAAACAGTCACTATTATTTTTATCTGTCGAATGGACATACGTAGAATGAAAGGAATGAGATCATATTGTTCACAAGCATCGGATGATTGCTGGATTTGCTTTATTATGACAGACCTAGAATAAGTTTGACGAACTAATTGGACATTGTTTTACATGCTGACGACAATTCTCAATGTATGAACAGAATAACGATAATGCAAGACAGAGGTTTGATTACGGATCTTATCTGTCATTAATAGACTGTGTAACTGTTATATATATCCTGCGGCAATCATTAAAAACATAATCCGGTGCTTTTATAATATCAAGATAATAGTGCCTAGAGTACTAATGTAAAACCAACATAGATCTGACTTTATCTTCAAATAGCTTTAATAAAATAACCTTAATACTTTTAACCGTAAAAACTTTCTCTGATTCATACTTAATGCAATATAATGTAGTAGATATGATATACTTTTAAGGGCGGAATTTCTTTATCTATAGGCTGATCATTTACGAGACCTCTGCTTTTATATTTAATACTCTTGTAATTCACTTTTCTTCTTTCGTAGTCTGAAGTGTAAATTTAGTTTTAAGAAAGTAGCACTCTGTAATGTAACTTAGTATTGTGATTGTAGACTATTAGCCATGTTTAGTATAATGTACTGTAAATACTTATCCTAAGAGATATTTGGTAGCTATAACTATAGACTGTAGTGGTATAGACTCTATGCTAGAGTACAGATGACTATATACAGTAAGGTGTTGAGCTACTAATAAGGCTATAGGTAAAAAATAGAACTGTAAATTATATATTAGGATATGGTTAATTCATTGTACTTTGGCTGGTGCGAATAATGTCTACGTAAGTACTGTAGTCGTATCCATATCAGATTAATGATGGTCCGCTGTAAAATAGTGTTACTAAGAATAATTTAACTATTTGTAAAATAAGGTAAAAGATTGTCATGCGGATTGTAGCTGCGAATGCTACGAAAAATATAAAAGCATGCAACTCTAGATTATTCCGTTAGTTCGCTGTAAAAGTCTTTAGTAGTAGTATTCGGCTAGAGTAGAGCTGTATGTAGTTAATCTTAGTATAAGATTCAATAAAGC